ATATATATATACATATATATATACACACACTTGCATATATATATAAAATAGAATTCTGTGCCTCCATCAGAAAGAATGACACCACCACATTTGTTATGAAATGGAAAGACTTGGAAAAAATTATATTAAGTGAAGTATAGGTAACACAGTTTCCCTTATCTACAATAATTAATATATGTCTAGGACAAGCAGAAGAGATCAAAAGCTATGTATATATGACCATATAAACTGATGCTAAGCGAAATGAACCCCAAGATAGGGACAAAAGAGATTTTAAATTTCTTGCTGTTCTTTTTAATGTACTTATAATGTACTATGTGGGTTTTTTTTTTGTGTTTCTTTGTATTTTTTTCCGCCATGGTAAAACCCCTGTTGTCACTGTTTGATTCTGGTGTCCTGCATCTTGTATATATGTTTTTCTAATTTGGGGAGGGTAAGGGAAATAAGAAAATACTGAAACAAGGATACAGGTTAACCCATTGTAACAACAAGATGTACAAGACACTATGTTGAAAATGAATTTTACAACTTTTTGGGGTGGGAGAATGGAGGAGTTGGGGAGGTGGGGAAGAAAGGGATGGTAGGGGAAAAACAAAGGAGGGGTTAACATCGCTCCATAGGAAATGGACTAAGTACCGTGCTCATGTAACTGTAACCCTTCCGAGCAGTATCTTTACAATACATATATATATATATATATAAAAAAAAACACTAAAATAAAATAATGCAAAAGAGAGAGAAAGAGAGAGACTCCTGGACTTTTGAACCTGGGCTAATTTCAAACCCCAAACTAAGACCTCAGCCTCCTAAGTAGCTAGGATTACAAGTGTGAGCACCAGGGCTTGGCTCATTTTGGGGTCTTTTCTGCCACTAAATGTAAGCTCTGAAAGGCCACCTGACATTCGTAGTGTTGGAGACAGAACCCACATTCCTGTGCATGCTAATCACACACTGTCCTACGGAGCTAAACATCCCTTCTGATGCATAGTTCCTGCAGTTGCCTAATTCTACTTGTGAGCTACACAGGGGTTCATGCTGTAATCCCAGCTATTTGGGAAGCAGATATCAAGAGGCCACAGTTTGGTAGCTATCACACGTGAATAAAATGTTAATCAACCAAGTCTAGCCAAACATTAAAAGTTTGAGCGTCCTATTTCATTTTTTTAAAATGTGGGCCTATTTTATCACACTTGTAATCCTAGATACTCCAGAGCAAGAGGTAGCAAGATCTCAGCACTTTTCCTGGTAACTGTGAGAGATGCTATCTAGAACATAAACTAAAGCAAAAAAGTAAAAAGGGGTAGCTCAAGTGGGAGGGTGCTACTGGCCTGGCAAGCTCAAGGTCCTGAATTCATGCCCCTCGATCAACAAAAGAAAGTCAAAACCCATACAGGAAATGGTGCTCATGGAAAACTGCAAGCCATTAAGTATGACCACATCTCAGTATCCCCTTCCTTCCCCTCTGTCCACCTTCCAGCCTAGGCCATTTTAGCAGCGTGTTGTCACTCTTAGATCCTTAGAGATGGGCTTGGTAGCTAAGACAGAAGGGCTGGTACCTTCCCTGGCAGTCACAGACTAAGGAAAGGGCTGTAAGGATAGGCTGAGCTGAGCCCCTGTGATGCTCTAGGTTAGAAATACCAACTCCTAACACTTCCAATCATATTGATGTCTCACCTTATATGTTTTCCCAGGAGTAGTTACTTAGAACAACTACAGTAGAATCTGGATTTTAAATTTTTAATTGCTCAGAAAATATTTAGTTTAATGGACTGGATATTACAATGATGCAAGTGAGGACTGGAGGGCTGAGCCAAATCCTAACAAGTGCAGGTCCCTGTGTTCAATCCCCCAACATTGCCACAAAAAATGGTGCAGTTAAAAAGCAAATATTGCAATGAAAAGGCTTCTTAAAGAACTCAGATTTCAGGCACTAGTCACTCAAGACTGTAATTCTAGGTACTCACAATACTGTGATATGCGGAACTTGATTTCAAGCTAGCCTAGGCAGGAAAGTCTGAGAGTCTTTTGTCCAATTAAGCAGATAAAAGGCTGGAAGTGTCACTGTGGCTCAAGTGGTAGAGTGTTTTCCTTACCAAGAGGAGCCCAGGGACAGCACCCAGGCCCTAAGTTCAAGCCCAAAGTTAGATGAGAGAAAGAGAAAGAGAGAGAAGGAAAGAGGAAGAAAGAAAGAAGGGAGGGAGGGAGGGAGTAAGGG